CCCACGCGGCTCTTGCCGTCCGCGCTCTCCGTCCCGCTCGCCTGGGCGCCCTCTCCGTCCAGCCCCAGCAGGGAGACGTGGCCTGCGGGGACACGTGGGGCGGGTGAGGAGCCGGCGGGGCTGCTGGGCGCCCCCGGCCCGCGCTGACCGGGCCTAGGGTGCTGAGGCTGAGCGAGGAGGCTCCGGCTGCCCCGCGCCCGGCGGCGGGGCTGGCCCGGCACCCGCAGGGCTCCTGGGCTGACACCCAGCCCGGACACCCATTCCAGCCACCGCGAGGGCACCGGGCGCCCAGCCCCTCTCTACGGCTCAAGGGACCCCCCTGCCAGGGCTCTCCCACACCCCCTGTCCCCCCCGCGAGGACCCTGCAAGCAGGCACGGCCCCCAGCGCTGGCACAGCCCGGGATGGCGCCGGCTCCGCGCGCAAGGACAGCACGAGCAGGAGCACAGAGAGCTGGGGCCGGCCTGCGCGCCTACCCTGCAGGTCACCCCGCTCCCGGCAGGCAGCACCGGGAGCCTCCTTGCCGCCCTGGCACTTCCCGCCGGGACCGAGCGCCCGGCCCCTCGCTGCAGCCAGGGCCACCTGGAAAGACACTGTCCCTTTGGCCCAGAGCAGCCGGGGGGGACGCYCCGCGCCTGCCCCCCGCAACGTCCCCGGCCCCTGGCGGCACTCACGGCAGCGGAYGCGGATGGGCCAGATCATGATGCAGCACAGAGCCAGCGTGGCAGCCACGGCGATGCCGCCCGTCACCACCACCATCACCCAGTGGTAGAAGCCGACGCAGGCGGGACAGCAGAGCTCGGTCCTGCGGGGAGAGGGGAGCGGCGGCTGCGACGCCCTCCAGGGCCCGCGTGCCAAGCTCAGCACCCACCCAGCTGCGTCTGCTGCACAGACAAGGGCTGGTTCCTACCTGGACATGGGGGACGGGTCCGGGGCAAGAAGAGGGGCAGCACCCTAGGCATCCCGAGCCCCCCACCTCCTAGCTCTTGGGGCCAAAGGAGAAGGCAAGGAAGGATTTAAGACACTTAAATCCTGGCTTTTGCTGGTGCGTCTCACTACGGGTGTAAGTGCAGGCTTGAAACAAAGAGCGTGAAGTTCTGCTCCTGGCTGAAGCTGTCCCCAGGAAGGCTCCGCTCTGCGGGGACACTTACGGGCAGGGATGCATGTTCTGGATGACCATGACCGCCAGCCCGTTGGCCATCTTGTCCGTGAAGCTCATCGCGCCGTAGACGAAGGCGCTGCTGTGCTGCAAGGGGAGGCCGGGAGCCGTGAGCGCCGCACGCGTCCGGAGCGCGCCGAGAGCAAGAGCCTTGTGCCCTCTCATGGGCAGAGCCCACATTGCACCGGAGCCCGGCAAGCGGATCCGCCCGCTGCGCGTGCCCACGGATGTGACCCCGCGCGGGGGACGACGCACCGTGTTGCTCCCGATGAGATCGGCCGTCATGGCGAGCGACGTCACCAGGATGGTGGCCGAGCCGGCCCCGAGCAGCAGAGCGGCTGCGTAAACCTCCGCTCCCATCTGCCTGGCCAGGGCCACCCAGGAGGCGAAGGCCAGGATGACCAGGATGCCCACGAAGTAGGTCAGCTGCTCCGCACCRGCGCGGGGACGAGCAGGGGGACAGGGCAGAGCTCAGGCCGGGCCGCTTGCGCCCCACGCGCGCCCCACGCGCCCGGCGGCGCCAGCCCCGGCACTCACGTTTCGCCCTATCCACTTGTTCACGGGCTTCATGAGGAAGGAAGAGAGGAAGCCGCTGACATACATCAGGAGGGGGATGGTGGCGATGTATTTCTGAGAGACAAGGGCATGGAGCACATCAGCTGCAGGCCCTTGAGGTGAGACCCGCGCCCACGCCGCCCCATCGCGTGGCTGGAAAGGTGCCCGGCGCCCACCTTGGGCAGCAGCAGCGAGTTGGTCAGGTACATGGCGATGTAGGTCTGGGACAGGTTGACGATGAGGCGGGTGGCCATGTAGAGCACTGCCACCTGCAGAGAGACGCAGCACCGAGGCGGCGGGTGGGCATCTCGCGCATCCTCATCCTCGCCCACAGTGGAGGCACCTCCTGGGTGCAGAGGACGTCCCAGCCYGGGCACCAGGGCAGGAGAGCATCCYGGGACGCGTGCCGCRGTGCCCGCTCGCAGCCGGCGCCCCGGCCCTTGGCACCTGGTAGAAAGCGGGTTCCAGCAGCCAGTGCCTCCAGAGCAGCAGCGGCCGCGGGCGGCTCGCGGGCTCCTTGTGCAGCAGCGGGGTGCTCTCGTCGGCCTGCGGCGGCCCCGCCAGCGCGGACGGCTTCTCCTTGGTGCCCACGTGGAAGATGAGGGAGAACACGGCGCCCAGGCCCACCACGATGAGGGACAGGTTCTGAGGAGGACAGCGGGTGAGCACAGCAAAGGGTGCCCCTTCCTCTGCGCCATCCGCCCCGTCCAGAAGACTAGGGGAGGAGAAACAGGTCCCTAAAGCCCAGGGGAGTTCGATGCTGCCGAACACAGCCAGGTTCTGTGCAGGTTCTGGGCCCTGGCATTTCAACCCCGCTACGACGGGGAATTCAGCCCTGTCCTGCCAGCGCAGAGCCCTGCCACTCACCCGGAATACGGGCACATCCTGGATGCCCAGGTGCTCCATGCTCTCCGGCTGCTCCACCTGCAGGTTCAGCAGAAGCCAGGCCAGGCCATACACGGTGATGTTGGCCATGACGGTGAAGGCGTACCTGGGGACGGGGTGTCCTGGTGACGCGCAGGGCGGGCACGGCAGCCACCCCAGGCCAAGGGCAGCCCCGGAGTGGCAGCTCCGCCGGTGCCGCCGCGAGCACGCAGCCCCGGCCCCAGGCTCCTCGCGAGGCTCCGTCCAAGCCGTGGGGCAAGGCGTGGGGCACCCAACCTTCCCCGTGCCCGGGGCAGCCCGCCCACCCCGCGCGCCCGTCTCTGCCCCGAGGAGGCCCCGGCTCACACGCCACTCGCCAAGACCCGCAGCCCTTGAGCGGAGCCCAGGCGTGCCCTGGCTCGGGGTGGCCCTGGCACCAGCCCCACGCGCTCCCTGCGCGGGGTGGCACTTGCACCCCCTCGCCCTGCCCCAGGGCACCTTCCTCCCGCCCAGGTAGGTAACCAGCTCCTGCTCCAGCTCCTGCTCCGTGTGATAAACGCTCCTCCCATCGTGCCCGACAAGCGGCACGGAGCCGGGCTCCGTGCACAGGGCTGCATGTGGCTGTCCCCAGCCTGGCGCCTCATTCTCACTGAGGGGACAACCAGGGTGGCACCTCAGCCCAGCACCTCATCCTTTGCCCGGCCCGGCGCTCACATCCCTTGAGGGCTCCAGGAGCTGTTTCCTCCCCGGTGCCCATCACTCTCCAGCCCCAAAGATGAGAGTGGTGCCAGGCRGACCCTGCTCATGGGCCAGGCAGAGGCAGCAGCAGGGTGCAGCGTGGCAGGGGCTCGTGCCTGGATGCACYCGCTGGGCCTGGCACAGGGCTGCACAGCCGGAGCTCCTGGGGCAGCCCCAAAGCCCAGCCTGGGCAGGGAGCTCCCAGACAGCCCCGGTTTTCCCACCACATGACAAACCCCCCTGGAATCAGAAGGATCCCGGATCTCCTTCCAACAGCACTGGGGTCCTGCTCAGCACAGCCTGCAGGCTGCGTCACCGGGATCGCCGGCGCTGGCACCTTCTTGCCTGGTACCAAGGGGTTTGGGCCACAAGAGCAGCATCGCTGGGACTCATCCTGCAGGATGAGCTCATCCTTCGTGCAGTTGTGCCCAGGGCAGGGCGGCAGCAGACGTGTGGCACCCAGGGGCTCCCTGCCATGCAAACGGGGGAGCCAGCGCTGTCCTCCAGCTGCGGGGACACCCTCGGCCTGGCCGCACTCACCTGAAGGCCGTGAGCTCCACCTTCTCGTGGTCATTGGTCACCAGCTGCGGGATGAGGGACAGGTGAGACACCTGCGTGGCGGCCCAGCCGAACTGGAAGATGACGATGAAGGGCAGGTAGTAGATGAAGACCGCCCACGGCGGGGTGCTCTCCTTGCAGCCCAGGCAGGGGTTAAAGATGAAGGGGAAGGACAGGATGACGCAGGTGGTACCTAGAGAGCAGAGACRGGCGGTGAGAGGCTGCAAGGCCTGGGATCAGCTGCCTCCTGCACCCACCACCCGTGCCAAGGCTGGGGCTGGCGGGGGGACACAGCCCTGGCCACCTGGGGAGGGGAGGACGGCTCCTTCCTTGGGCCAGGAGAACCACAGGTGTCCCCTCGCCCTGCACAAGATGCCTCTCCCTTCAGCACCCAGCAGCCAGGAGGAGACAAGAGACACTTATGAGTGACGCTTCCCAGGCCAGGACACCCCAAACCTGGGGACCCCTCGCAGCTGCCCCATCCACCCCTCAAACCCTCCGGGGACGGTCCCCCTGCCACCGCTGGGAAGAGACTCCCTGGCGTCCCACGGCCAAGGGCATCTCTGTCTCCGGGGCCTGCGCGTTATCAGCTCCAAGGACACACGCGTCCCTCCGCCTGCCAGGGGCGATAAGGGCCGCRCGGAGCCGGACGGGTCCTGCAAGCGCCGGCGAGTCCCCCTCATCCCTCCCGGCGCAGCCCCGTCGCGGCCAGCGACAGTTGTCCCCAGAGCCGCGGCCGCTGCTGTCACCAGAGCCGAGGCCGCTGCGTCCCCCCGCAGGCAGCTGGGCCGGTGTCCCAGCACGGAGGGGACAGGAGCAGCCCTGCCCGGGCCAGCGGCGCTGGCGTCACCCACCGCTGCCCCACGCCGGGAACGCCGGGAAGTCCCTGCCGATGGCAGCGGCTCCTCGGAGCGTGTCCCACTGCAGCGCAGGGACGCCTGGCGGGCAGGGACGCGCCGGCTGCGTCCCCGGCTCTCTCAAGGTCACACGGCACATCCAGACAGCCTGGCCCTGCATCCCGGGCCCGGCGTGGGGCAGCTGCATGCGCCGGGCACCAGCCCTGCTGCGTGTGCCAGTGCAGGGATGCTGCGTGTGCCAGCTGCAGGGATGCTGCAGCCGCGGGACGAGGTCCCGCGCGGACCCCTCTCTCCGTGGGCTGCACAATCCTCCTCCTCGTGAGCCATTTCTCCCTTCTCCACCCCTAAAGGGCAAATTCCTCCCTGCCACTTCCCCCTAAGGAGGAAGCTGGAAGCACASGGGGACCTCGAGCGCCGGCCCCAGCAGCGGAGCCAGGCGCAGAGGGAAGTTGTCCCCTGGGGTGGCTCCTCCGCCACGGGGAGGAGGCTCAGAGCCCCAGCGAGCTGCCAGGGCAGAGCCAGCCTCCCTTGCTAAGGCGACACCCCAAGCGACACCCCAGATCCTGCACGGGACTCCCGGAGCACCCCAGGGGGACTGTCAGGTCCCAGCTCTCATCCCGCAGTGCTGTCCCCAAGCCGTGAAAGGGCCACCGGGCCGGCAGGGCTGCGCGCAGCACGGCGGGAGCTTGGGCCGGGCGCCGCGGAGCCGCCGCGGCAG